CAGCCACGTGATCGGTGCAAAATCATTGCTCTATGTTAAGCAAATACAGTTAATATTATTTCGTTTTATTCAATTAAATATTTTAACGCCATTCCGCAAAGATATTTTATTGGATCTTTCCATCACGGCGGTGGAGAAAGGTTGGGAAACCGACGGTAGAAAGTGTCAAGGAATAGAATGGGCACTTGGTCCTTGGATGATGCGTTATAAACTAGTCATGTTTATACGGCTTATTCTCTAGTTTTACTCGTAGAAATCATTAGGGTTGATTTGAATTAATATAGCAGTTTTTAAATTTGGTTTTCTGCGTCTCTCTTCACTCTGAAATGTGATTTATTTTATAATTCATTGTCATTTTTATGTCTAGACTAGACTTCTAGTGCGTATTCTGCGTATTTATGTGTTTACTTTTGTGTTGTTTTGATCGATGTCGGATAACTGAAATAAAATGGTTGACTGACATGCAGCTGTAATGGACAACTAATTTTTATTACTGCCGTACCCGACCAATGACCAAACAGAATGGCGTAGTAGTGCTAGAAATAGACAGTAGTTTGTCATTTCTCCAAACCGTCTTAACAGATTATTTTCATCTGAGATGATATTGTCGAATTTATAAAATCATATTATTATTAATGTATTTTATATAAACAAAAGACGATCTAAAATTTTGGACTCAGATAAGCATTGCGATAGAAAATTATGCAAAGTAGCAGCGTAAGACAAACGTGAATATTACTGGTAAACCGTCGGGAATTCGCGGCATTTCGAATTTAAAATTATAAATAATTTGCTTTTTGGTCCATTGTAAAAAGGAATACAGTTGTGATTTAGCGCCGAAAATTTTATGTTGTGTATGGAAATTCTAATCGCAGCACATAAAGTTTGTTGGCATGCACTATTATTCATCATTAGTTCACACGAAAGTGATAAACAAAGTAGGTCTACCCGATTTCTCAACGTGATTTACCGGAATGAGTTTTGGGATCAGTAGCTGCGGATTCTGTGTGCCTTTGATGTATTTAAGGCTGGGACTATTTGGTAATCAGCCATGCGTATAGTCCTCATTTCCGCTTCGGTATTTAAGCGCTTTATTTCAGCGCGTTCTTGGTATTGGAGCGCCAGTTGTACGCGCGATGTTAATATTCATCGCGGCGGAGAGAATAATGGCATACCACGGCCCTTTCGTCGGTTACCAGTTCATGCCGGCATGGGATTAGTTAGCCCAGTTATTCGTTTTCATATATGCATGGGTTTCCAAAGAAGTTTGCGTCCCTTTTGTGGAAAAATAACTGGCAAATCGACAAGTTATTTGGTGCCACTTCGGGTATCCTGATCTCAGTGATTTTAGTATTAACCTAAATCCCAATCCAAAGACAACGGGGCTAGGAGCGACTTCCAGATGCCACTTTTCGGTAATTGAGCTCACATTAAGCACGTTGAGCTCACGACATCACGTCACGTACAAAAATAGGTTTATGGCGCTGAGATTGCGAGAGGACAATTTTCTCGCATGTCAGAGCGAGTGTATGCTAAAATGCTTCAGAATCGTAACGTAACAAGTCGTATTTCCCTGATTTGCTACGTTGTTCGTGGTAATGTTGTTTCATGTTGGCGCCTTAAAAACACCAAATAGCAGTTAACCTAAACAATTTTGCCTTGCTGAAGCAGTATGTTTCTCAAAAGGTTTTGAGCCGCGCCCCCTTTTAGAATTTATCAACTCTCGCGCCTCACCTCAAAAATAGCTAAACTAGCTAACTATAAAATACAAATAAGAAGATATGTAAGGCGAAATGTATGTTTTATTCAAAATACGTTGAAGATACGTGGATGTAATCGCAATCTTTAAACAATAAAGAAATGTAAATATCCAAAATAATGGCGGGCAAGGACAAATCTAACAAATATTTTCATTTTTAATTAGCTTCACGCCTCCTCAAAATTGGTCTACGAAGTTGTGGGGCGCGCCTCACCGTTTGAGAACCACTCTGCTAAAGGAGATAGCTGGGTTACCAAGTATGCGCACAAAATTATTACCTCCATATTGGTACACACATTGTTTGGAGCGCCTTTACTTAAATTAAAGTCAAATGTTAAAAAACTGTACCGCTGTTATATGAAAATGTGCCCACGAATTACAAAGCTAGCAAAGTCAAATGTAAAATACCCGAAAACTCATTTCCTTTAAATTAAACACATAAGACCTCTCTTGTTTGTTTCGGTGGAAAAATATATCAACAATAAAAATTTCGATTGAACAACGAAACTATTAAATTTAATAGCAGAGTCATCTTTAAGTTACGCGTTGGTGATCGTGATTGAAAACGCGAACTAGGTGTTGGAAAGAAATCTAACAAGACCTAGCAGGGTTTATCCCATATTTCTTCAGTGAGAGGACACGTTAGGCAAAGGTGCGATGGAAAACGTGTCTCGAGGCTTTTATTAAAATGTACCATCCACCAAACGAATAAAATTATAAATTCGACTTTATCCATGAAATGCTCCTCTGATCGGGCGCTCAGAATTATATAATATTTATGACTACATTTTCGCGATAACGAATATGAATTGTGTGCCACATTTAAAAAAATGCATAAAGTCACAATTCCGTAGTGCGTTTATATCTGTCACAACCGACTTACTGGTCGTATTTACAATTTAAGTCATAATTTGAAAAATTTATTTTACTTCAAGTTTGTCGACATCACCTGAAAATGACAAAACATTTTGGGGGAATGGAAGTAATGCAAAAGAGAGTACAAATTCTTCTGTGGGTCGTTCATCCACAATTACAAATGTTGATAAGAAACCGATAAAATCGGCCAAGTAAATAAATTAACAATTATATATAGAACTAATCAAATATTTAGTTATACGATAAATTCAGAACGTTAGCGAAACTATATTGGTTTGGTGTCTAAAATTGAGTTTCACAAGAGTCTTACTCCTCGTGATACTTTTCGGTAAAATATGTCTAGTCGGACTTGCATCTCAATATATATGTTAAGTTGCTTCAAACCGAACAAAATAATAAGCACGCGTGGTCAATACGCGTATTCATTGGTGTGCATGTTTTGTTTGTGTGGTGTATGATCAACTAAGTGGCTCCCACCCAACCTTTATCTCTCGACTGAATGACGTATGGCGAACAATGTGTTACGTTTGAAGCCATACGAAATGCTGTTCGCTTGCGCAATTTGGTTCTAACCCAACCCGTCAGTGAAAGGATTCGATAAAGTTGCGTTGAACTCGTTCTCATAATTGACGAATGTGACATCTTGACTTTTGTTTTAAACGTTAGAAGACCGTGGAAAACGGGTAAGAAGCACTACAGCTGACATTTAGTGGTCTATTTTGGAGAATATGTATTAGATTTATGTGTTAGCATGCCATATTAATGTAGCTTACGTAGTGACATACAGACATTTTCCGAAATAATCGAACACGTTATTAATGTGTTCGATACAAAAAGAACCTGTTTCTAAAATTTTGAATTCCTATACTGATAATGATTGTCGGAGATTGTTTCTTGAGACGAAATCCAGACAAACGTGGTGGATCTTGGTGCAATAATTGTGTTTTCATCGATAAGTCCGTCCGTGTTTCAAAACTTCGACTAATTTTGGTATCGTTCCCATCGGAATTTAGGATAAGATAGGATTTACATATTCCTCTTTGCGGAGAGGAAAGCCTCTTTATACTACTCTATACTGCTCAATCATATGGCGAACCACGGCTTCTCGCCCGGTTACTAGTCCAAGTTGAGTGGGGGAATAGTTAGCCAGTTATTTGTTTTCGGAAGCACGGACTTAACAACGAAATAGAAATCGTCTGTGATGTCACAGACCTTGTTTTCATAAAGAAAATATTTTAGTACTCGAGATATTCAACCGATTGCAACATTAAATGTCAGTGTTGCGACAACCTATTAATTTGTATTCAATGCAACATTATAAAGCCGAAAGGGTTGCACCAATTTTCAAAAATATGGATGGGCGCGAAATATACATTCGGAAGAATTTCGTTTTTGTTTTATAACATTCAATAGCCGTTCCTGAAATGACTTTCGTGCACTTCGACTGTATCACGGGCCCTGTATTCTGATCGCTAACTGAATTCGAATATTGTTTGCACTTTTCTATTACTAGCATTCATTTCGATATTTGTTTTTTCGTGTAAGTCAGTTCGTGATATATATTACGAAATAAAAATCACAAGTGAAAACCGTATGCGGAGTTTTTTAATTATCGGGTTAAGGATACACGAAAAAGTGAGGACTATACCCGCGATGACTGTTAACGATCAAAATTCATTCAAACAGTTGACTTTAAAATGCTTGACCGATTAACTATTCTCATTCTAAACTCTAAACCAGGGGTCGGCAACCTTTTGACCCCAGCGTTCCATTTTATTAATAATGAGCACCTTCACGTGCCAAACATTTTTATGTTTTGGTTTGCATAGTCAACTACCTGATTTGAATAGTAAACGGATGAAAAACAAAGACATAGGTATGAAGGTCACTCACGATTAGTTTTGTAGCCAGAAACAATGCACTCTAAGAAATGTTCGGTAAATTTTACCGTCATTTTAGGGGTAAAAAATTAAAAAATGAGGTCGGTAAAATGATTCACCGACAAATGTCGGTAATAATCACCGACATGGGAGGCGTGGCATTAGTCAATGTTGCGCGCGCACACTGGTTAAGGAGAGCAGCCAATCAGACGCTATATTTCAAACGCGTAATTAATCACGCGCGTTTTTTTGTTGCTTTACTCCTTAATTTGTCCGTTTGATTTGACGAATTCCAGACTTTTGGATTTTGATATTTGGTCGGCCGACAGTCATATCTTGGTCGCTTTTGTAATTACTGCAGTATTGCGTTGGCAGTATTTCTGTAAGCCATCTTGGATTCAATAATGTCAGTGTAGGTGTTGTGTTGTTTAGTGCTGGGTATTAATGTATTGTTCAGTGGGATTAGGCAGTATGGGGCAGTCGGGAAGTAGAGTAAGATCTATCGTTTCAATTACTGAATTAATATATATATATGATAATATGAATACATACTGGCTATAACAGTACAGCAGTATACGGTACTGGTATAAGGTTGATTGGACTAGCTTACATCAGTACATCCGCAGATCCATGTTACGCCTGTCGATACTTAACACAGCCAGAGCTTGATTCGTATTTCCAAATCTGAATTTTTTTGTCAGTAGACTGGCAAATGTTAAAATGCCGAAACGGCAATACAATATCTGAATATGCCCATTTTACAGCTCTAGACTATGAAATGTTAGCATCTAATTACTGAATCAAGATAAACCTGTAAACCGTCAAAATTATCAACAGCTTTATGATGATCGCAAACTCAGACTACTGGCAGGCTGGACTACAAGAAACACATGAACAGGCAGACAGGGGAGGGGGTGACGTTGCTCTACACCCAGAAACCGTGACTTGAAGAATGTGGCATTAAAAGAAACAGGTATCAATTAATTATATAGGCCTACTCATATAATTATATACTGATTCAGTGATTGAAAATCATCTACAGACAGACAGATTTGTATTTGATTATGATATTTTAAGTTATTGATTCTAGGACTAATTCAGAACTGTTTCATTTGAAAAAGAGCAATTTTAGGCAATTCACATTTAACTGTCATAAAAACACTAGATTTTCTTTTAACTTATGACACTATAAATAGAAAATTAATCAAAACAACATTTATCCACCTTATTCTGCATATTTACCAAAACCAATTCTATAAATTTTGTTGAATTTCTCTTTTGAATAAGACCGAATTTGAACATATTACATATAATGATGGTGGGGAATGAATACAATCCTTTTTAACAGTGTTTTCTTTTTAGAAACTGAAGAATCTGATTATGCAGGCATGAACAAATTGTCTGCCCCAACTCTGAACTATGAAAATGTCAATGTCTAAGGCTTCATAATATTTGAGATTCTTACTAACATGTTATTTCAAGGAAGAAGAATTTGAGGTTAGTTATAATGTTAATTTTAAATTGTTAAAAGAGAAACTTTGTCATCTGCTCTGACAATAAAGTATTAGGAGTGTAATTTTTATTATTTAGGGACTTCTGAATAATTTATTCCATTTCAATACTATTTCAGGTAGCCTACCTCTTCCATCTCATCTACAAAGTTTGGTAATACTGGAAAAGTCTGTATCGATTGATTGCCCACAGATTTTTGTCCTTGAACTCCAAGAGGAAAAGAAAATATGAAAATTTATAGAAAGGTTGGATATTGTAATGAATGCTAGTATATGCAATTGAATAATTTCAGATATTTCCAACTTGCAAAAGAATTAGATTGATTGATTGAATACTACAAAATGTTAAATCTTATTCGAAAATTAAGTAATATTTTTAAATTTTGGAGTTGTTTGGGTAAAACTCTTTGTACATTCCATTTCAGATAACTTGAAGTTATGGAGAAGAAAATACCATGAGTTCCTCAAAGCAAATGGATAATGCAATACAATCAGCATGGGCAACACTAACCCGGAAAGACTCCCCCTCTGCCATAGACTATTCTCTCTTAGAGGCTGTCTATAGAGACTTGTTTAAAGTGACTATGTGAACGGATACCCTGCGAGCATAAACTTCTTCAACCAGAAGTTTCTGTTTACCTCGCATTTCTAACTTTTCACTATACAATTTCTCATTTTTCCAAGTTTTCAATCATTCATTTCACGTTCACTTTTATTTTTTGAATAAACCTTGTTTCATAGAATAGTCTGTGATTTTTACTGATCATATCCTGTAAAATGTAATGCCAGGAGATTTACGGCACTTTTTACCGGGTTCTGAATGTAAATTCACCGAATTTGTAATGTAAATTCACAGGCTAGCGTCGGTAAATATTACTACGCATTGCCGGTGAAAATTATTAGAAAATAATTGTAAGGATTACTAGGAAAATCCTGTAAAATTCACAGGTGTTCAACAGCGATTTTACCGAAAATTCTTGTGATATTTACCTTAAAATCGCATTAAAATTTCACAACTACATTCCAGTAATATGTAATGCCAGACGATTGCCGGTAAATATTTCTTAGAGTGTGTGAATGCGACAATACTAAATAAGATTAAATTTATTCCATCATCTTTGTTAGGGCTATATGTAGCTTACGCTGAAATGATTTTGGCTTCCGTGAGGTACCCATCCAGCCAAGCGCGCAGCCAGGATTTTCAAAAGGGGGGTTCAAAATCGGAAATTTCCGTTTCATTCTGAAACAGTCGCCGCGATTACGCGCTCATAAAAAGAGCCGACTTTCTCAGGGTATACCGTAAAATATTCAATTCATGACATCTACGAGAATCTATAAAATTTTCTTCTATATTGATATAATTGTGTCCAACGTGAATCGCGGTTCCGTCTTCTGGTATCAAAATATAAACATCACTTGTCTAAAATACCGCTCAATCTGTTGGCGTAAAAAAATATGAGATAGACAGACATGCGTGATTGTATTTAGCGTGGATACTTTTTTGTGATCTTACGAGTTCGTTATCACCGTTAGAAAAATCTCAAGATCTGTAATGAAAATATCGTAGAGTACAATTAAATACATCAAAAATACATATTTATCGCCTCGAAATCCCCGCGGAACGACTTTTTCGACGGATAATAAGTATTTTTTTGTTGTGCGAAGTAATCAATCCATGACCGGATACGGCCATATTTGAAATGTCTTGCATTATTATAATTTAATTGTCTTCAATTTAACCCGCGTTTGCGTCGACAATATAGATCAGTATTTTTGCCTTTTTGCAAATTCGACAAATCTGAGATGTACTTACAACAATGATGACTCCGCGCTATCGCAATGCTGCCACTCAGATTATTTTTAAGATGAAACCGTTAAAAAACTTTCTAAGTCTGCAATAAAATAAAATTTATTTTAGTAAGTAAAAATAGCGTTTCTAACCTTATAATATAAAAGTAGCGTTTCTAACCTTATAATATGAATCGTATGATATTAACACGAAAATTTCCCACGACAAGTAAAATAGCAAAATCCGCGCACAATTAATTAACTGCGTTTCGATTCTAGTGACGTTATGATTCTCAACGCCGCTCAAACTTACTGTATGTGTGCCATAGGCATACGAAATTTTGCAATTTACAATGCCTAAAGAAGCGTTTTCGATCTGTTGCGGGCCAACTACAACAAATTGTTTAGGTTTTCAATTTCGATATTTTATATTGCCGCTGTTCGATGAAAAAATTTGCGTCGCCGTTTCACTCCTTTAATTGACTTAAGCAACTCGCCGCCGTTTAGTGTTTAATAACTCTCAGCGAATTCACAATTCTGGTCGAGTAGGAAAAGAAAGTAATTATTATCGTTGTCGTTAAATAACTTTTTTGAATCAGGGAGAATAAACACCAACTTAAAAGTGTTTACAGTCTAACACGCCACGCTGACAAAAACAATCGTGATTTTAGCAAAAAGCTGTAAGAAAAGTTACCCAAAAGTATGAATTAATAAAATAATATTCAATATTTCACGATTTTTAAAGGACAAAAAGTAACTCAACAGTAGTATGATAAGTTGCAAGTCGTTAAACGAATAGTTTCAAATCTGGCACCGCTGCACCGCACATGCTTAACTATACTGATTTCCCGTACAGATTTCGACCTCTGATCCATAGTTTTTCCGAAAGAAGCGAAATGTGGCAACATTGCACCGCACATACTTAATTACTCTGGTTTCCCGTACATATTTCGGCCTCTCGTCGATTGCAGTTAAATATTGCATGTTTTCAATGAATTTGTCGAATTGGTAATTTTTGTTCAAATGTAGAATGTTTATCGAACTACTAAAATAAATATCTGAATCTGCCTCAAATCACTTAGCGTGCCACGAGAAATCCTCTTGCGTGCCACAATTGGCACGCGTGCCAGGGGTTGCCGACCCCTGCTCGAAACCAGTGGTTCCCAAACTTTTTGTACCATCGCCCCCTTACAGTAGTTTATAAACAAGTTGATCGCCCCCCGGCACTGCGAAAATAATGTAAAGTCTGAAACGAATATATTACAGACCGAATAACGAGACAAATCATAGGTATAGTATTTTTTAATGAGATGGATAAGCTTGGTGTTCCTCAGCGAGTTTTTTATAATATCTAAAATTACCCTGATTTACTGATGGAAAGTCGATTTCGTTGTTTTGATAGCAATAGTAGCACAGCTGAAAACCCCTCATCATATTAGCGGTCGGAAATGAAAGAATCTAGGATTCTACCTCCTCAAAAACCGCCGTGTACTGTTGCCTTATAGCATTTAACTTCCTCAATTCACCCCATTTTACATTTAGGGTTGCTAATCTTTTGCGGGTCGCCTATATTTTTGAAAGTTAAAACGGAACAGCAACTGAACTCAGTCGTCTTAATAAAAAATCATTACAATGACATTTGATGTGACACTGTCTTGTTGCTGCATCACGCTTGATAGCTTTACGACGCCAAGATTGGAAGATTTTCTAAATGGGCATCACTAATCCTAGTTCTAGCTTGTTCTTTGTAATGTTCATTTTCGAAAATAATTGTTCACACATATGTACTTCCAAACATCGAAATGATGTTATCGCATGGTTTGTCAAATTTCGATGAAGATATTCTTTAATAAGAAGATACACTCTTACAAAAATTAAGTAGTGATGAATCCTTCGAATAGAATATGAATTTTATTTCCTTATTGCATTGCAATTAATTCTAATATTTACTGCGCTATTGAACCCTTGCACTCAGCATCAACTTTTCTGCGTGTTTCCTTTTGTCTAATTATAATTGAATTGTAGGCTCGTTAAACGAGAAGCTGTTTCATATAATTTTAAGGATATAATAAAATTTTGTCTGAACGTGCCTCACGATAAGTTCTGTAATTTACTCCTCGAGCGTAGATTGTAAATAAAATTAATTCATCGCCAAAACCGCGTTTGGATGTTTTCCCAGGCATAGACTTCCTTGTTTACTTCGTGACATTGGCCATTCAGCAAGTTGCAAAATAGACGTAACAAAGCCCCATTTTGCATCCGCTCAGACACATTTCTCACTCAGACAGATTTTCAGGCTTGGTCGTACAAATTAACCTCATTTTGGCGTTTTTGAATTATATTCGTTAGTTTTCAGTTGTTTTTCGGAAATATAAATAAAACAAGTCAATGATCACTTTGTCTCCCCAGAAGTTTCAGTTCATTTACAGTAGGCAAAAATTTGGTGTCGAAATATCTTTTAAAAAACAGATTGTTGAATGGTATGAATTAGAATGATAGTATGAAACAAATACCCCGTTTTACAGGCAACAACTCGCAAAACCACTCTTAAAATACGCACCGAACATTTTTAAATGGTAAAGTATAGGAAAAATTTTCCGGGGTCAAAGGTCGGGGAACGGTCCATTCAATAGGCTTCTGGTCCAAGATATGATGAATGCACATGCAAAATTTGGAGCAGATTCAACCTTTCTTTCGTGAGATATTGCGTAACATACGAAAGTGTCTAACAGACAAACAAACAGACAAATACCTATCTACATACTTACCAATCGAGATCGATAAGTAATTCATAAGTCATCTATAAAATTTGACAACCGTAGCGTTAAAATGTGACAACAAGGCGGTAATTTATTGAATATGACATTATTCAATTACCAACATGTAATTTTAATATATTTATTGTGGGGCTCCGTAAATAATAGTCAATCTCTCCACGGACTCCACTAGACTTAGCTAGCGGATTAGGCAATTATTCTGAACACAGTTCATTGTTCATATAAAGAATTTAGCAGCTGTGGAAATCATTTGTTAACTGGAAATATTGTTGATAAATTACTAGTGTTGCCAACTGAATCCCGACTTTGAAATGTGAGATTGTTCAAATAGTGTGCATAAATAAATGCCACATGAATATACTTCCACACACTTGCGTACGTCGATTATACAAAAGTTACTGTTGGAAAAGGTTTGTAGGCCTATATGACACAATAGTGGAATTTGTTAGCGAGCGTGAAGTGTTCAATTTTTTTAAATCAAGCAAATTAAAATCTAGGGCCTGCAAAATCCAAAATTTCCGGTTTAGTTGAAAAAACAAAATAATCTACTGCCTGGTGTGCAGGACAAATCTTGCCCGCACATCTGGCCAAAGGTGAAATAACGGGTAAAACTGGTTGTTGTGATTGATTTCCAAATCTTAAACATATGAACATCACTAATTGCCTTGCCCTTTCTCTTTTATCGTGCGAAGGTAGGTTTGGCTGTCGGGCTGACAAGGTACAACACTAGCGAGATAATGACACCACGAAACCGGACATTCAAAATTAAATTATACCTTTGGATTTACTGGTCTGTGCTTAGAACGCAAAATCAATTCCAAGTTTTATTGCAAACAGGTCTGCTGTTTTATGCGTAGCGTTTTTCTGGGTTTGTCTTCAAAAATAAATTTTCAAATTCTATAAAGATTCATGCTGATTTTTGTCGAGAAATAACCGATTTGGTTTGAAAGCGTAAGGAATGAATATGGGAAATACCTCAATCACTTTTTTGTGTACTCTTAAGTCTAAACCCGTTAATTAAAAAACACACGCATACGTTTTTCTCTTATGATATTTATTCAACCAACCATT